ACGGTAACCCTTCGCGGAATTCATTGTCCGGTTTTACCATCAGGTGCCTGCAATGCCGCTAAAAGCGTTAAGTGATATCCTGTGCTAATCCCCGACGTGCGGGGATCTATTATTCACTTATTTTAATTAATAATCCAGATGGAGGATTAAACTTAACAGGTCTAAAATCGCGGTCACATCCAAGTCCGTAGAAAGTAGTCAGCGAGACTAACCAGAATCGTGTAGTTCGACAGTGCATTAGGCTGATAGTCTTTGACTCCCCAAACCATTTGAATACAGATCATGAGGTCTATCGCTGATCCTGACAACAGAGCAACTTTCATCAGTCGTTAAGAAAATACATACCGCATGGTCAAAACGAAAATGCTAAAGCGTGAAAACTCAGAGTTGAGTGACCAACGGCTATGAAAAATACAAGAACGCTGACTAATTTTTCCACAATATTAAGTGGTATCGGAAGCAAAGCATGGGGACTTGTGTTACTGAGACGCATAGAAACATATGGAGAGATCAGTGGAAACGACTTGCAGGAGGGCTCCAATTCGTATCAATCGGATGCCACAATATTTATAAAATATTGCCACAAAAAGGATGACCCAGATAAATCAAGTAGGATGTAGATGGTTTCATGGTTCTTGGAACCACAAACTAGCATAGCCATGAGACAACAGAATAAAGATGGATTGAGAAAGAAATTAGTAAGGTCAAAGTTCAATTGTTACATTACCTTTGATATCACGATGAATCTTATTCTGACCGTGTAGATAATCCAGACCTTTGAGAATTTCACGCATTATTGTAGGAATGTATGCTTCAGGAATAGGTCCAGGCTTCATGAGGTCCAGTGCGGAGCCACCCCCGAGATATTCCATGATTATCCATAAAGTAGTGTCTTTCAAATAGGATCCGTGATATTTTGTGACCTGGGGGCTATTGCATTGAGATAACACAAGAATTTCTTGTTGAATGTCCTCAATTTCATCTTCCGCAGCTTCCAAGTAAATCAGTTTTATGGCAACAACTTCCCTCGTACGTTTGTCGATCCCCTTGAAAACTTCACCAAACGAACCCCTACCAATCCGCTCTAGAACGTCATACATAGAATCTGGATCTACATTCTAAGTGGTACGGTACATCAATGTGTGAAAAGGTTCTTACCGAAACCCTGATTTGTGACGACTTGTTTGGCAACATCCTCCCGAACGTAAAAATACAAATAACCCGCCAGATATCAAGGACCGTCAACCGGCACTGCGCTACACCAGGCAGACAGGACAGTTCAGTTCAGTCAGTCAGTCAGGTCAGGTCAGGTCAGGTTGCACAGGACTGATAGTGGCCACAGGCCAATCACGCGTCCAGAATTCCTTCAGTGGTAGGCCAGCGAGTGTGCGTCCACCTCTGCGATTGATCAGTTTCTCCTTCTATCTGCAACAGAGAGAACGAGAAACTTTACTTCTCGCCGCGTCGGCGAGAGACCTTTATTGTGAAGCGTTTCATATTTCACAAAAACAATTTACATACCTAACATTCTATGTCAGGGAAAACCTCCAACCATCTGGCGTCCAGAGCTCTTTTAAAAGCCTGGACGGTTGGCTGTCTAATTAGTTCCAATGGTAGCTTATTCCAGTCATCCACTACCCTATTGACAACGAAGTGTGCTCTTAAGTTCATTCTAGAACGCTGTTTCCTGAGTTTGAGTTCATGTCCACGCGTTCCTTGGTGGGGTGCCTCAGTGAAGAAGGACCCCG